GAGCATGTTTGGTGTGACGAGGATTCGAACTCGCGACCCTCAGATTACGAGTCGAGTGCCCTAACCACCTGGCCATGAGCATGGATGAAGCTGTCAGTTTGTCAAAATGTTTAAACTCAACAGTCATTACGTTTCATAGTATTTTATGAGTAATTTATTAACATTATAGTTTTATATTGGACAAAGACTGATTTAGTATTATCAATTAGAATAGAAATTTAATAATGAATGTGCAGAACAAAAATAGCATTATTTCTCTCTCTCTGTATATATATATATATGTGTGTGTAATTTGTATGTCGTGTGTGTTTTCTTCAGGTGTTATACTTTGTAGTTGACAATACACTAAACTCAGATATCAAAAGATAACAGCTACATATATACCTTCTGTTTTTCAAAAAATATTTTTTTCGTGACTCACGTTAGACATTGTTTGAAACTGTGTGTGTTAGGCTTAAAAAGAAGCTAAAAGTGAAAGGTCAGATCTGAGCTACAGAAGAAGTGATTAGTTTTTGAAATCATCTATAAACCCGGATCTGTCATTTAAGTTATTTTGAAACGCTGTGGTATTTTCCCTGGTGACAACAGAGCGTGCAGGATACATCTCAAGAAGCTAAGATGTTGGGTCGGTGTTGTTGTCATCATTCTTGTCACGTTCAGCGTACCTTGCCTCTTCAGCTTATCTGCTGGATAATTGACAAACCTATCTTATTATATTATAAGAAACAGTCACGAGAGACAGTAGTATTAGATACATAGAAATAACGTATTTTGTCCTTTAGAAGAGTTTGATATGACAAAGATAATAACAAATAACTATTTTATTTCGAAAGTCTGCTATCTAATACATAGTTGAGAATGTAAGTACTTGTTGCTTTTACCATTCATTTTTATGTTACAACTGGCTGAACGTGGATTGTATAGACAATGGATTGCGTATTAAGAGCAAACAATTAGGCTTATACTGTTTGTTTTTTTATATTCCGGATACAACGTCAAGAGGTAATCCAGCCTTGCGAGTTTAACAGATCTTTATCAACTTTCAATTGTGCAAAACGTATACAAAGATGTATTAATAACAATGAATTAAAATGTCTAGTTTAAGACCATTTATTAGTTATTTTAACTTTATGCTGTGTTCTAGTTTTTGAATTCATTTAAATGCAGAAAAAAATAAGTGTCTGTTAGTCTACCAAAATGTAACGTTTGTTTACACTGTGTACTACCAGGAGAAATGTTATGTGTGTTAAGTTTCGAAAATTCAAACTAGGTTACAAAAGTATATACATTTGCCATTACCAAACTTCAGCGATACTTTCACGTCTTCATTCTCTTCCCACGCATTTGGAAATCACTGGTTTATGTATTACTGCGAAACATAATTTTGCTTTTTGTTGTATCTTTTAAATTTTGCGCATAGCTACTCGAGGGCTATCTGCGCTAGCCGTCCCTAATTTAGCAGCGAAAGTCCAGAGGGAAGGTAGCTAGTCATTACCACCCACCGCCAACTCTTGGGCTACTCTTTTAGCAACGAATAGTGAGATTGACCGTCACATTTTAACGCCCACACGGCTGAGAGGGCGAGCATGTTTAGTGTGACGGGGATTCGAACCCGTGACCCGCAGATTGAGAGTCGAGCGCCCTAACCACCTGGCCATGCCGGACCCAAAACATAATTATATAATTACAACTCCTTTTTTTTTCCTTTTCTCCTTTGTTGATGCTCTAACTGAAAATAAAAAAAATATCTAATTGAATTCATTTTCCTTGCATAAAAGAAACGCGCTTCAAATGATTGAATTTTAAACGAGTTTTCCTATTAGCAGATAAATTATATCACTTCAAAACAATGAGTGAAAATCAATGATCATTTATAGAATAAGCAATTCATCGGTACTTGCTTCAAAAAACAAAGAGAGAGAGAGAAAGCACTGTGAAATAATTACACGAATGTCGTCATCACTTTGATAGGCATATTTCTTAAAGTTTCGATATTTATCTATTAAAAACAAGTTTTCCTGAAGTGAGCTTAATCATACGGACAAGACACTTAATTCTTCTACTTTAAATTCATAATGCATACCTAATCCATAGAACTTGTCTATTTTCTCCGCAGGACACAGCGGTATCAACCAGTTGGGAGGTATCTACGTGAACGGACGGCCGCTACCTGACTCCACACGACAGAAGATCGTAGAACTGGCCCACAGTGGTGCTAGGCCCTGCGACATCTCCAGGATTCTTCAGGTGTCTAACGGTTGCGTCTCCAAGATCCTCGGCCGATACTACGAGACCGGGTCCATCCGGCCCCGGGCCATCGGGGGAAGTAAACCCCGTGTGGCAACCCCGCCTGTTGTGAACAAAATCGCCCAGTACAAACGAGAGTGTCCTTCTATCTTTGCTTGGGAGATTCGGGATAGGCTATTATCTGATGGGATCTGTAATAACGACAACGTTCCAAGTGTAAGTAATACTCAATACGTTAATAGTTTATTGTACAGAGCTGGAACTTTGAAAAATTATGTTATCAAATTCGGTTCCCTTGCATACGCTGAACCGTTTTGGACATTCTGGTCTGCCTTATCACTACCACAGACATTCAAGAGTAAAAATTGAACGACTTAGATTTTTTCTCGTTAAAACTAACTGTTTAAATAACTACTAATGCGATACACGCGTATTTTAATAAAATCAATTGTTATATATCTCGTGACAGCAGTTAGATACACAATAGACGGGTTCATGAAGATCGACTAAACAGTGAGGTTGATATTTATGTTTCATTTATTAATGCTAACATGTTGATATCTGAAAGAACAGGGCGTGCAAATAGTGAAAGAGCTTCTTTTATTGTTATTATTTAATGGTGTACATAGAATTGTTGACAAGGTATTTTCACATTAAGTTCATAGAATATTTTAAAAGCTAATTTCTAAACTTACTCAGTAAACGTTGTCGTTTTGAAAATGGAGTTCGAGCTATATACGTATATTCACTTTAAATAATTCATATTATTAATATATACAATAAGCATGTTATTTTTCCCTTAAAATTAGCATACGCTAAGTTTATCGGAAAAACCTTTTATATTTCTTTATTCTTTAATTCACATTAAAAATGAAAGTGTGTAAAATACAGGTACGATAATACAGATGTTTTCTCGTTTAAATCATATCCAGACGAAACAGGCGTTATAAGTTACAATTCAATTAATCACCTAATGCTTCCTTCCCTATTACACCTTGCCGTTGCAAGACAGAAATATTTCCATTTCAACATTCAGCATATATAAATGTATACATTTCTCTTTCAGTTTATTATCTATAGTTTCTAATTGTTTTATATGGTTTATTCTTTTTGCCCTCCCCCCAGTGCACAGCAGTATGTCTACGGACTTACAGTGCTAGAAACCCGGTTTCGATACCCATGGTGGACTGAGCACAGATAGCCCATTGTGTAGCTTTGTACTTAACTACAAACAAACTTTTTTCTTTTAATTTTCAAAATAACTCCGAGCACTCAATCTCTAAGTCACATCTTAAAGAAGTCCAATACTTAGTTGTTATTCTACATCGTTTTAAGTTCGACATCAGATAATATATTAAGTTTAAAAAAAAAAAGAGTTTTTCTCTAATTCAGGTGCTTATAGTACTATATATACTATATTATAGTATATCGTGCTGTAATGTTAGAACCCCCGAACCCCTGGTAATGCAGCAGCATTATATGTTATTGTGCTCTGCAGTGATAACCCCTACCGTATTTTTGTTGGTTGTAGAATTTTTCGAGCAAATCTACTTGAAGGCTATTTTCGCTAGCCGCCCCTAATTTGTAAGTGATAGACTAAAGGGAAAGCAACCATTCAACACCACCCACAGCCAACTGGGTGCTACTTTCATCGAGTAGCGGGATAGGGGTTTGACAGTTTCTCTTCTAACGCCCAAAGTGTGTGGCACGAATTTTTTTTTTTTGTTTGGGGGTGGATGTGGAAGGGAGTAACGGGGCGCCAAGCAAAAAAAAAAACAACTTAGATCCACAGTCCAGCACACTAACCACTAGGCCACACTTGTCCCCATTTCGGTACTGTTAGTCATTTTTAAATCGTTATGTATCTTTTTTGGGGGGGAGGGGGTAAGACAAGCACTTTACTTATCTCAGTAGCTTTTCATAAAGCCAGGAATTCAAACATTTAATTATTAAGTATTTATTTTCTTTATAAATGTTGAAAATGATCTTGTTTTTAAAGCGATGTCTCACCTAAAGATGAACACACAAGCACATATCTTGTATTTATAATGAGAAATACTGATCGAACATACAAAGTTTACGTTGTTTAATATGAAGCTTTCAGAAAATGACAAGAGGTTTTGAGGACAGGCGAACCACACTTTGAGTCCTTGAAAAGTTCAGACAACAAGAATACTAAACGTTGACGACAAAAATGTGTCACGTCGAATATTTTTGAGGCTCTTTACAATATCATTAAGGTGCACCACAATAATAAAGATACTATTATTGTGTATTCGATAAAAGAATTTCAAGAAATATTCGGTAAATATTTTAATAAAGAAGGCAACATTGTCATAGACGTCTGTAAATGTAAATGTAAAAATAAAAATGTTCACCCCTAGTAAAATAAAACTTGTAGTTGTTTTAGCGCAAAGCTACATAATGGGTTATAAACTTACCACTTATCCTCCGGGGACGAAACGTGTAAAGATATTTGATGATTACACTTTCACATTGTGTAAGATACAATCTTATGTAAAACAGTTTCATGTACATTTAATTCACGGTCACCCAAGCGCCAACTTTACGTTAGAAAAACGGTTTATTTTAATGAATATACTACACATTTTTTTTTTCACCAACTCTCCCGGTAGGACAGCGATACGTTTAGGACATTACAACGCTACAATTGTGAGTTCAATTCCCACTGGTGGACACAGCTGATAGATAGCCCATTATGGTTTTGCATTAATATAACAATCGAACCGTTAATCACATTTTTCACTAAAGCCAATATTGAAAATCTACTCTCTGGCGTAGAAGCCTATTGTATTATTTGATTCGCCGTACCCTTCGCTGTGATAATGTATTGCAGTGTCGCCTATTCAAGGATCATCAACATAGGTTAGATTAGCAAACCAAAGAAATACAGTTTTATACGGTTAGTTCTTACAGATGTAAACAAAAGAATATTTCTGAGATTGAGTGATATTTTTAGGGTATTCTCCTTAACTAATATTGTAATTCGTATATAACTATATCTTTCTTTTTTTTATAATAATTAAGTCCGTATTTAAATTTTCGGTGCCTACTGAACTTTCATTTAGTGCTTTTAATAGCGGAATATAGTGAATAGAACAATATCTTCGAAAGAATGCCTACTAAACTTAGCATCATGGTCTATGAAGTTACTGAGGTCCGGAACGTAATTAAGTTTGAAAAAAAAAGTAAAGTACTATTTAATTTTACTCCCATATGAAAAGATATATATTATGTAAGGCTTACCCAATGTGCCTTGGGCCTTGGGCCTCTATCTACGATCATGCTTAACACCCATATTCTGAACTAATCTATCACACAAATATACCACTTTAACAAAACTTTTTAACTATGTATATTTACACAGTAAAGAGAATCTTATCAAAAAATACAATATATACATTTGTTTCTAATATAAAGATTAATTAATACATTCGCTTAACGTCTCTGTATTAATTTCCGACACTTCTGTTATCGAATGAACGAGGCTACATTGGATAGATTATAAAATCAGAGACAGCTGTAATGTAGTTACACAGTAATAACAGTTTTACAATTGTTGTAAAGTAACACAGTAAGAACATTGATTACAATTGTTATAAAGTAACACAGTAAGAACATTGATTACAATTGCTGTAACAGAACGCAGTAAGAACACTGATTACAAATGCTGTAAAGGGATATAGTAAGGTCAGTGATAACAGTTGTTTTTGAGGAACATAGTAAGGTCAGTGATAACAGTTGTTTTTGAGGAACATAGTAATGTCAGTAATAACAGTTGTTTTTGAGGAACATATTAATGTCAGTGATAACAGTTGTTTTTGAGGAACATATTAATGTCAGTGATAACAGTTGTTTTTCAGGAACATATTAATGTCAGTGATAACAGTTGTTTTTGAGGAACATATTAATGTTAGTGATAACAGTTATTTTTGAGAAACATATTAATGTCAGTGATAACAGTTGTTTTTCAGGAACATAGTAAGGTCAGTGATAACAGTTGTTTTTGAGGAACATATTAATGTCAGTAATAACAGTTGTTTTTGAGGAACATATTAATGTCAGTGATAACAGTTAGTTTTTGAGAAACATATTAATGTCAGTGATAACAGTTGTTTTTCAGGAACATATTAATGTCAGTGATAACAGTTGTTTTTGAGGAACATAGTAAGATCAGTGATAACCTTAACCGACTGCTCAATGTTGTTTCTATTCATTAAATTATATATACTTAACTAATATACGAACTATTGAAAGCTGTGAAGACAATAAACGCAATTCTTCAGCGAACCCGTACTATTTGTTGTGGATCAATTTATCGATGTAAGTAATAAGGCTAAAGTCGAGGTAAACCAATGTTCCCCTGTTTTTCTCTAAGGCTTAAAAGTGGTCGGTACCGCTAACAAGAACAATGAAATTGCTATACGCTCCCTAGCGGTTACAATAAGCCAATTTCTGGCAACAGTAGGTGGGAGCTAAGTAATGTTTACCGCCACTTAGCGAGCTTATTCTCTGTCTTTGGACACTGGTAACGTTGTCGGAAAACGAGAAAGTAGCGGACGGGGCAAGTAGACGCCTGCCGCTCTATCGACTTACCGGTTAACCTAGCAATTTCGATGCCGTAGTTTTTACTACATGCCGTACATTCAGATTAAGTTCTTCTATAGACTATATTAGGAAGATATCTTTGTAATATAATATTTCATCATCATCAGGTTCAAAATTATGAATGTATTTTGATTACGAGTGCCAATAGATATGCAGAACTTCTACTTTGAAATAATTACTTCTTTTAAAGTTTCTAGCATGTATAATGATTTAATATTCTACTCAACAAGCTATTACGATTATGGAGAAAACCTTGTCTATAAACCAGCCAAAACTGGTGATAAAACTATTCCCCATTTGAGCTTGCAAGTTAATTAAGAAGGGTAATGAAACACACACACATGTGATCGTATTAAAAACGGCTTCTAAAAATCCACTACTTTGAGTTATAGATAAGCAAGTTTAACTTGAACGTCACAGAATTAAATTCAGTAGAAAAACACCAATGTTCATTTCGTATTAAAATTATCACAATATTTAATTTATTTAACGAAAACATTAAACTTTAAATTAGTTTTTGAACTTGTACTTCGGTCTGATTAAAACAATGGCATCAATTAAATCCTCACAGCTTGGACTTGATTTGT